TCCAATATTGAGATTTTCTCTCTCCTTTTTTATCTTTTGTAAACGTAGTTAGCAGCTCATCAAACTGCATTTTTGTTGCAAAACTCAAACATCAAAATGCCTGAAAGTTAAGCTTCAGTGCTTTTGTCTGTGCAACTTACCTATGCCTTTAAACAATGTCCCTCTCGTTATTAATTTAGATTATCAGAATATTGTATGTATATAATAATATTAATATTGTCACGTAGGGTAGACTGGGTACGACTGTAACGACTCGAATATTATCGAACAATGCTCGGTAGGTGAGAGGTACAAGAAGACATATGAATTTGTCTTATCTTGTCTTAGCCTTACTATCTTGTTGCCCGCTTCCCATACACCTCTCACCTATCGAGCAACATTACAACGAATAGTCACAACAGGCTAGTTTCCTAAAAAACTTTATTAGTCCGTCAATTTTAATATAAAAAAATATTGCACACATATATTTTTAATTGTCAATTAAACAAATAATTACAAAGTTATAGTGCATTGAAGTTCCGCGCGACGTCACGGGCCTTTTTTGTTAAGCTAACTGACGGACTAATTAAAACTATGCTTTTTTACCCAGGAAACATCCCTACTGTACCTAATCTCCCGTACATACTGTTTCATAATCCAAATCAAATTAAACACTACAGGCAGGCTTGTAGCTTGCATTTCCCTGAAAAACCAAGCCGAAGGCTGAAATGTAGGCCGAAGCCTACGGGATCAGATTTTCCGAGAAAATCTGGCGCTCGAATAAACCAATTAGTGATTGCACTGGGTAGCCTGCAGGCGCATATCCGATGTTCTATTCAATTAATATACTAAGCAGGTACTATTGTTAGCCCTACAACCTTAAAAAATAAAGTAGAAATCCTTAAAGGATCACTTCAATTTCTCCTCGCACTCAGTATCTTTGCCGATTTCGTATGACAACTAAGTCCACGCATATTAATTAGTTTGTTAATTGGTCCAAATTATATCAATATATGGCAATGTAAACAGGAACTTGTAATTGCATGTTTTGAAACTTTCCAGTAAAATCATAACCCAATTAAGGTTATTTTTATACAAAAATTAGGTCCGAAATTGAATACTGTAATCTCAAACTATTATTTGCCTCTATAAAATATCCTCAGCACGAATCATACATTTCAATGCGTCCAATCAGAAGGACTGACCCAGTTTGCAGACGGTCCCCGGGCCTTCGTCCGACCCAATTAAGTGTCTTCAGTTCTATTCCTTGATTTCTTCCCCTGACCTGCACAACACCAAAGGGAGTGTACCCGTGTCTTTAGCCTACAAGACTTAATAGTAAAATGAAAAAGGTATGCTAAGAAAGCATGATCAATTTCTTTTAACACGCAAGTGACATCGTTATTGGTTAGGGCGCGTACATATTCTTCATTAAGGAACTCTAGGTATATAAAAATACGTTAATTTCGTTGTAATTTTTAACATCATGACTTTGGCAAATATTCCATGGACTATTTGAAATATAATTTATGCCTCACTTGTATTAACTTCATAAAAGGTGCAATAAAATACTAGCTAGAACTACCTAATGAAAATGGTATTTACACGCATGTGAAAAATGGGTGTTTTGGCAGCTAAGCATACGTTTTTGCTCTAATGTATTTGTGTCAATATTTGACGTACCTCGCCTATTCCGTCTTCAATATTTTAAATCTAACTTCATCATCAAATACAGTATTGCGGTTGCGGGAGATAAAGTCACTAGCATTAATGAAAATGAAATAATTATCCTTATTGCTACACTAACGCCCGTATTCACAAACGATGCTTGCTTAAGTGAAGCAACAAATCGAACGCACAGCCTTAAATAGAGCTCTGTGATTGGTTCGCATGTCACTATGTGCGTTCACGCGTACTGTGAGACCTCATTGCCTCGTTACAATTTTGTAGCAAAAGGCGCCAGTCTCTGCATAATGCTGAGCTACAAGCTCAGCGCTGATCTTCAGACTGGCCGTGAAACTGGTCATCACCAATTTCATTCACATTGTGCTCCATTAAGCTAGCGTGTGAACACACGCTAAGACTAATCGAGTGAGGCAAGGGAGTAAGTAATGAATGACACGGTAGTGGACACCTATTAACCCCTACGTGTTTGCCCATTACCGTGGCCCGCCGCACGGTCGCTGGCATTTGTCAAGGTTTATTCCACTTTGTTCACCTGGGGTGGAATTTTAAAGCTGATAAACTAACTTTGACCGTAACTATAACGATAACCGGTGTTTTTTGTATGGAGTTTGACAAATTTTTGACGTTTGTCAAAGTTAAAGTAAGATAGTGTTCTTATTCCGCCTCGGAACCACTTCACACGTATCACTCAGGTTGATATTAATTTGACTAAAACGGTCGCCTTTGTTCGCCTAAGAATTAATTCACCCAGGTCTTCGGATCTGATAACTGAAGTTGTCCACTGTCCACTTTGTTCACCCAGGTGATATAACCCAGGTGAACAAAGTGGATAATCATTTGATTCATTTGTCAAGCCCTGACAGATTATTATCCACGATGGAATAACAGGCCGTAGTGGATGCACTAACGCTGGGTCATTGTGTAATAGAATGACGTTACTTACACGCTAACCCATGGGTGGATTTCACAAATAAGCGAGTTTTAGTAAACCTAGTTTTAAGGGCTGTCACTACTTGCTGTCACCTGTTGCTAATAAAGGAAAATATTTTGTTATTAATTTACAATGATTAAAATAAAAAATGTATTTCGTAATTAATGGGGATGTTGCCTGGGTCAAAAAGCAAGAGTTTTAATTAGTCCGTCAGTTAACTTATCAAAAAATACTCTATACGTATTTTTCACTTTTTCAAACTAATGAAAATTTCAAGAGATAAAGCGCCCCAAAGTTCATAAGAAGAGGCCCGTGACGTCAACGCTTGCTTAAAAATGCCGCACGTTGTGACGTCGTGCGCAACTTCAACGCACCATAACTATGTAATTATTTGTTAGATTGACAAATAAAAATATATGTGTCCAAAATTTTTTGATATTAAATATTACGGACTAAAAAAATTTTTTTAGGCAACTAGCCTATTACAGCTAGTTTAGTTTTGCAGGGCAATCGAATACCGCACTTAGCCTCATGGACATGTGCATTATCATCATGTACATGATGTACAGCTAGCTAATGCTCTGTTCATAAAAAATAACTAAATTATTTTCTATTATGACAGCAAACAATGGTTTTTTGTCACAGCTGCTCTTATACTAAACTAGCGGCCGCCCGCGACTTCGTACACGTGGATCCCGTTTTACCCCCTTAGGGGTGGAGTTTCGTAAAATCTTTTCTTAGCGGATGCCTACGTCATAACATCTACCTGCATGCCAAATTTCAGCCCGATCCGTCCAGTGGTTTAGGCTATGCGTTGCAATAGATCACTATGTCAGTCAGTCACCCTTGTATATTTAGATTCAGTAAAACTGGCTTGATGAAATCAGGGTGGATTTATCAGTTGGACACAGTTCGTCCAGTGCCGTAACTAGTCTTTTATGCGCCCGGTGCGAGAAATATAAAAAAATGTAACCTTTTTGAATAAAAAGTAACCTTCTNAGCGTGCATGAAACAAAACTAGATACTGGTCTGGTCATTTCTGCGCCCTGTGCCTGGGCACCGCTGGCACCGCCCTAGTTACGGCACTGAGTTCGTCACACATTTATATCAATTATCAGGTCACAGTTGCAAGTAGGACTGTTATCGAACTTGTGTAACAAATAATTGGGGTGATTAACATCGTAAACACCGTAAATCACCTGATAAACATAAATTAGATCGGGTTTCTTATCCGTAAGATTCTTACCTAGAAAAAGGACTAGACGAAAAGAAAACTAGTTAATATTTTCTAATTATCATATCAAATTATCTAGCAAAGCTGATATAACGGCGACTGAATATCGCGTAAAAAATTTGACTGAAGTAATGCAGTATCAAAATATTTTTTTCAACAACATTTGACAATAAATTACGATAGTAATGTTTCAAAATCGAAACGATCTTGTTGTTAGTCAAGTGTCGCGCGATAAAGATTGTCTTCAGAAATCCAAGTAATCACTCAAAGTAGCATCCGATTTTTCTTTATGTGGAGGATACTTTTGAATTGCAAGTGAAATGTTGTAAGATAAGTTAAATTACTTTATAATTAACGAAAAAAGCATGTTCAGCTCTTTTCAGCGCTCGAAGTAAGAGCCTTAGCTCAGTAAGAGCTTGCTTGCGACATAAAACATTTCAGATTCAAGTTCGAAACAAAATGTTTTTCCCATTTCCCCTGTGATAAGCAATAAAAGTTAAATGTTTCACTCTGCCTCAGGCCATTAAGCGTTTATTTTCAAGCTTCGTGCTTTATTTCATAAACTTAATACATAATGTTATAATATAAATTAAATTATAAATATTCAGTGATATTACTTACCTACTATCAAAACAACAATTTGACTTAGAGTCCCTTATGGGCCGCTGAAAGGAAAATATCTTGAAAAGCGATATCGATCGATGGAAGGCTGGACAAAAATAGATTTTCCTTTTCAGTTAAGTATTCAAAGCCGGCCCAGCCTTTTCCATGTCAATAACGAACCTATAATAGCATCTTATTGATTTTTGTACCTTACGTAGCTTAGCAGGATTTATTAGTGCACTGTAAAATTAATCCCTCTGGACACCTGCTTTAAGCAAAGCAGATATGTCCTGCCGGGCTCGTAATTGAAATGGCCCATATTACACAGTTTAGTTTGCCCGGGGCGCATCTAGCGGCCTGGATTTAAGCTCGTAATGTTTATTGACAGATTGTGGAAGAGCGGGCGCTGTGCTAGCGGGCTGGGGTGGGGCGGGGAGACCTAGGTTCTACCGGGCCTGGGGTACACTTGTGTGCGTGGGGTGGCACGCACACTACAGCCGCGCTAGTGTGCGGCTGCCTCCCCGCTGCACACTCGTGCAGCCTGCACACAGATGCATTTTGTTGTAGGGTGTCCTTCAAGCGGCGAGCGAGCTGGTGCCCGGGCTAATGCCGCTTCTCAACCTGGCTATGGACGGGATCTTCGGCGACCGGAACGCTCCGATCGCGGCGATCAGAGTAGGGGATCTCCTCTTCGATGGCATCAAGCTGTGCGAGGGTCCTGGCATCGTTGGAGGCCTCGCGTGCGGCATCATCAGGGATCTTAGCGAGAGCGTACAAAACATGGCTGTACAAGAAGACAACTCTATAGATTTCTCCGTGATGGGCTATGTATGTGCATGAAGTAATATTACTAATATTATTTCATTTCTATTAATATTTCATGTAAAAAGGAAGTTGATTTAAGATAAATATCCTAGAGGACCTAGACTAATAAATGTGATATCGATTCGATTTAATATCACGTTGTTAATAGAGCGTTAACACTTTTAATAGTGATACCTATCCACATTTATGTAGGTACAATCGTACATGTATCGTTTGCATGACAGTACAACAGTTAAAAATATCTTTGTCGAAAATATTAACGAAAATATGTACAAGTAGGTATAGGTACGAGTATTTGTTTCAAATGAGCCTTATTGATCTTAGTACCTACTTAATTGTTAGCGTAATTATTTACTTGTAGCATTTTCATGTACTCGTAGGTTAGTAGCTTAAACGACCGGTTTTTTTAATGAGTGCTATTGAAATGCTAGGAGCTTATAAAAACTTTTCTTCTGCGGTAAGCTGTTAAATAACGTGACCATGTTTTTGAACAGCGAAACAATAAGCCCGGCAGTCTGATGGAAGTGGCCAGAGGCATTGAAGACCACTTCAACCTAGGGCGGATTACGGCTCTCAACGGCCTGCCGGAGCTGCTTTACTGGGCGGGCGCCGACGACAACATGACGGGCAGCCCCACGGTATGCAACATGATCAACGGGACCGACTCCGGCATATTTCACCCTTTCATCGACACCGAGGAGCCGCTCTACGCACTAAACACAGACATATGCAGGTCAGTACCCACACACTCAAAGCTTTTACCAATGTGTGATTATTTAGTGCTCACTCACACAGCCTCAACTCGTCACAAATGTGAGCTACGGGCTGGTATGCATGTGATGGTTGTAAAGGGTAAAGGTCGCGTCCCGGACCGTCTCTAATGACAACGAGCTTGTCGCGATTGGGATCGATATTTTAATGTGACGCAATGAAAAAATGCGCGGTTTCTAATGATGTTACCCTAAGATCACGTCTAGGGATTCGTAATCATATTTCCCGGGAAAAGTAAGGTAAAAAGCAATAGTCCGTCTTAACTTATTAAAAAATACTCGACACGTATTTTTCATTTTTCCAAACTAAGGAGATAAAGCGCGCCAAAGTTAAATAGAGCGGCCCGTGACTTCAAGGAGTGCATAACAGTGTAGCACTTTGTGACATCACGCGGAACTTCAACGCATCATAACTTCGTAATTACTTGTTTGATTGACAATTATAAAAATACGTGTCCAATATTTTTTGATAAAATAAATAACGGAGTAAAAGTTTTTTTTAGGAAACTAGCCTAATTTTGTTTTGTTGAATTTTATCAAAATAAAAAAATTGTAATTAAACTATGGGATCAACTTGAGATACACATTTTATTACATACTAGCTGACCCCGCGAACTCTGTTCCGCCTTAAAGGCAATAAATAAGCCATCGCAATTTTTCCTTATTTGCTCACCGTTTAGACCTACCCTGGACTACGACAAACATTTTAAAACCAAAATCAGCTCAATCGGCCCAGCCGTTCTCGAGTTTTAATCAGACTAACGAACAGCAATTTATTTTTATTTATATACGAGTAGATAGATAGATAATGAATATAATTTAGATTCAAAACTAGGTCACCTTAACCCAGTTACGTGGAAATATGGAGCAAATCCCTGAATATTTTCTCTTATTCCATTTGTCGGGAGTAACAGGACGCAACAGGCAAGCTGGAGGCGGCAAGGCGCAGGAAATGAATCGGCGCTCCGGGCAATGCTGGCTTGTAAGCTGAAATAGATTTTAACTTTAAATGTGGCTGGAATTGACGGTATTTTATTTATTTTACTTAGAAAAATAATTAATCAAATGAAAACCTATTGAGATCATAAAAGAAAAAAAAACTACGACCCACAAATTACTAATTGAGCCACAAATTACTAATAAGTTACTTGAGCCGGTAATTAGTATTTCAATATTTACGTAGGTACTTACCTAAGTCAATATTTTATCTACTTTATAACAAAGAGTAGGACCTATGGTTTTTTGACATAGAATTGGCAAACAATCTTGAACGACGCACGAAAATCAGCTTGTGTAGTCAGTGAGGTACGTACGAATTAATTTTGCTTTAAACCTTGGCTTACCATAACTACCCGGCCAATAATGTTAGCTACAATAGAGTAGAACAAATGATTTAGGCCAAATCCCGTAATAGTGTAATTTTTAATGAATTAGGAAGTTTAGCAGACAATCGTACACAGCACATGCATACGCATTTCGGGATACTGTTTTTTATCAACTTATCGTATGCAAGGTAGGCGCACCCTATGTAGACTTACCTGACTTGCCTATATACTCGTACCTACCAATAATACAGTCAGTGCATTTTAAATTTTATTTATAATAAGAAGCTTATCAGCTCATTTTAAGTGCTACACAAAAAATATACGTGTATAAGCGCTGTTAGCCGCTCACACTAATATTGCCGGCTTCCCGCGTCCCCTTGTGGATTCTAATGGGACGGCCAATTTATTCAGCGTAAAGTCTCCGACACCGTGATTATAGAGTTTGAGTCTCGTTGTTTTTTTATCAATTCTACGAATAATTTTCTTTCCATATTTTTCTTAAGAGGATAATAATTTTGACTGTAAGTACCTCCTTGTCATTGCTGGCAGAATGGTGATCTGCTAGGTAGGTATTTAACCCCAATAAAAGTATTGAAGTCCACCCACAAGGTGGACCGACGACATCGTAAAGGTAGCAGGGAAACGCTGGACGCCGGCCGCTACCAATCGATCAACATGGAAAGCATTGGGGGAGGCCTATGTTCAGCAGTGAACGTCCTTTGGCTGAAATGATGATGTTGATAATGAAAAGTATTGAATATGTCTTCTGACCCGCCTTAGAGCCTTGTTATTCCATAGTAGACATTAAAAAAATAAAATGTATTAAACGCATTCCTACTTGTTAACAATGGATTTGGGCCTTGGGTCTTGTAAGTAATGCACCTTTGCCTAGACTACGGACACTTTTAAAACTTTGCCAAATGACAAATAAAAACCGAATAAACTTGTATACAGGGTGACTTTGTAAACAGTATCCAATTTTTTAATAAGCTCTATAGAAAAAAATAACAATGCTACTTTATCTTAATTATTTATAATCGTGGTATTTTTCTCAAAAAAAAATTGTAAATCTAATTCGCAGGTGCCCATATCTTAATTAAAAAATTTTAAAGGTTAAGACTTATTTACGCGCACAATTATGTCTAATAAGCTTTGCAGTCAACTGTACCTACGTATTTTAATATGAACGAAGTAAATTACCCACGTGTGCCAATTTTGAAACCGCATGCAGCAGATAAAAATAAGTAATTAAACTTGAAAAAAAAAAATGTTTTCTTTACGTAAATCGATTAAAATTAGGACACTGATTGCAAAATCATTCTGTATAAGGTTTTGGCCAGGATTTGACCAGATTGTCAAAAGACCCAAAACACCTACATAATCTGCATTATTTCGATGATGTACCTACTCGTATTTGAGTCAGTGGGGATCTGAGGCTGTTGCACTTCGGCTCTAACCTCCAAATTAAAACATTATTGAAATCAATAAATCATTATACAGGGTGTTGAGAGTTAGATTTCAGTTGTATGTTTGTACACTAATTAAATGTTATCTCCAAACCTTAATTTTTGACAAAATCATCAACAATTTATTAATTATAATGAAAGCTTTACTATTCTTAAGGTTTTTCTTTTTTACATTCTTTTTGATTTACTATTTATTGATTTATTATTATTATTTACTCAAATACGCCCTCAATTCTAAATAAGTTGGTACATACATATTCAAGTTCCAATAAAACGACAAATACTCGTAAATAGTTTCTATGTAGGTATTTCTCTTCCAGTGTAAAAACAAACATGTAAAAAACTTTCTTGTTACACTTTCAAGTTCAAACTTGACCGTTTACGAGCTTTTGTTGAGAAGTAGGTCAAATTTAACAACCTTTTTAACCCGACTTCTGTTTACTTTTAGTCAAGGTTGCGGCTGAACTTCACCTAGTTTTCAGCCTTTTGGTTTTCAAAATAAAAGGTTAATGTCCGCGTAATACAATAAAGCTTGAAAATAGATTCGTGCTCAGGCAATTATTTAATGATTGGTTGAATGTCGATATTTGGATCAATCAAAAACCTGTATCAATTCATATCGCATCATGAGAATGAAAGTGACTCAGTTCAAAGTATCAAAATCGATACTCCTAATTTTTTAAGACTGTCTGGCTGTCTCTACATAATATTGTAAAACAATGTTCTCCGTCACGGCTGTCTACTGAATGAATTTCGTTGTTAGTAATAAAAATTTAAGAATAAATCCTGTATTAACCCTGTATAAGAAATAAGGCTTGAAGTTCGAAGAACTGAGTAACGGCATAATACTTGTAATGCAAATGAAGACCCATTGAAGTGATTTGTCATTGCTGCTATCATTAATTTGTAAGTTGTTATTATAAGCTGACTTTAACATTGTGTTTGTAACGGCATTCTTAAACTTGCATTAAATACTAGTGGCCTCCTGCGACTTCGTACGAGTGGACCCCGTTTTACTCCCTTAGGGGTGGAGTTTCGTAAAATGCTAGCTGATTCAGAAGTACTTACATCCATAACACGAATGTAAACTAAAAACGTTAAAAATCTTGTATATTGTAAAAAAAAACATAACTCGAAAACTATCAAAAGTCGAGGTGATTCGGGTAGTCCTAGTGATGCTCTACACTACTTTTTGGGGCACTAGGCTTGGTTTATAGAGTCTTTTACATATTAGGTACCTACTTCGTATACTTACTACTTATCGTTGTAATTTGACTAATTATTAACTATACAGTGTGTCCGGGCTTGTAGTGATCAAACTTTAAGGGCAAAATCTATGGACAATTTTATCGATAAAAATAGTTCAAATTTGGGGCCTGACCCATTTCTCGAAAAATTACATCGATTTAAGTTTTTAATTTTTAGTTTACACCTCTTCTTTAAAAAACAAGTGAAAGCGTGGGTAGCTTAACATTAATATGCAAATATTTTATATCATGCGATAGCCAATAAAATTATCTATTAGTAAAAGAAGAAAACAGACACAAATTTCATACATTTTATGGGAGTAAGAATGGATTTAATTAGAAAAACACATTACTTTTTTCACTTCTTTTTCAGTTATTTTCCAACACAAGAAAAACCAGGTCGTTAAGGTATGTTTTATTTGCATTGTATTTTTAGTATTTGAGCTATTCTACAAAACGAATGTAAATTTATTAGTCTACGTCTATTAGTTTCGACGTAATTGTTGAACAAAGATACCCCTTCCCAGCGGTTTTCATAGTAATCGGAATAGGTTGTGTGATTCTTTCAGGCAGTGCATTTTCGCATGTCGCGTGCGCTATGGAAACCGCTGGGAAGGGGTATCTTTGTTCAACAATTACGTCGAAACTAATAGACGTAGACTAATAAATTTACAATGATATTAAAGAACTATAGATATGTTACGTTCATAGAAATTACGATTTGAATCCGTGCCGAGCTATTCCAAATTGCACACATTGACAAATGTAACTGATAAGTGAAACAAAAGATACGAAATAGCACGCAAATGAAAGAGATAGCTATAGTTTTAACGATTCTGCACTAACTAATCTATGTCCGCAGCGCACGCATCCTTATCGCTCTAACGTCAAAACAAGATCGCTTTCTCTTTCTTAACTTGAACAT